TGGATCAACGCATTTAGCTAGTTCAATGTCCTTAAGGGCGGGAAAACTCTCGAAAGCCCAAATTTGAAGAGCAAGGACACAACCATAGATATTGTAGTGTTCGGGATTTGATTTCATGCTAGCAACAGATGCTCTAAAATAAGTATCCATGTCATCCCATATAACACGTCCCCATGGATACTTGTTAAAGTTGTCCAAGTTATCTACCAGATTAATATACTTACCCTTGACAGTGACTTGACCTTCAGCTGTTAAAAATGAATGACATAACACATGTAGGAGTGACAACTTAACTATGTCATTATCTGACACACTACCCCTGTTGATAGATTGTAACACTTGCTTGATAGCAATGCGCTTTACAGATTTAGAGCTGGCAGGGAAGTATTTCTGCCATATACGACCCCTATTAGTTACTTCATTATCAACCGGATGAAGGTTATCAACAACATTGAAACCAAAAATAGCACCCAAGTGAGATATAGAAAACACTACCCTCCTACCCTCAATTTCGAAAACGAAATCCCTGGGAAACTGCTTGTCAGCTACTTCAACTTCAATCATATTACCAAGCAGAAAATGCAAAAGTATCCCGGAACATAACATCTCCTTGGCATCTAGGAATTTCCCAAAAACAGTTTTCCTAAACAGTTCTACCTAATTAGGAAGTAATTTAGACCTAACTAGATTTATTGCGTCATACAACCTACAAAATGTATTGACCTTCCTTCTCAAATCCAAATTAACGATCGCCTTATCCAAGTATCTTTCGCCGACCTGAAAATATAGTGACACGAAGACATATAGTCATAACAAGTAATGCAAAATAGTGGTATATTATCTGTGCATTTGATCACATGTATAGAAAGAAGTTATCGGACAAAGTCTGAGTCACCCATGCCTGATCACTTGGCCGCGCGGCGTTCTGACCGGCAGTAGGGAGTGAGAGTGGAAGAGGGGGCGTGGAAACAAAGTCTGAGTCACCCATACCTACAAAAATGTTTGAGACATAAGTACACATATAGGTAAATCGTTGTGAATGAATGCCAGTTAGTAGTTAATATTGACTAGTACAAATAAAAATTGAATACATGGTGCAGTTATGCCGAGAGTCACTAAAGTGTGGTCATTGATAACTGGTTAGTGAAATTTTAAAGTGGTCATTGATAACTGGTTAGTGAAATTTTAAATTTTTAGAGAGTAAGATACATGGTAGTGGAGTAAATTTCAGTATTAGATGTTGGTATCTGTTGAGTATTTGTGATCGTAGTTATGTAGTAACAGTGACTGAAATTGCACTTTGCACTAGGGTAATTATAGTGAGTTTGGTTCTTAACATTTACATAGAAGTATATGGTTTAAATGGGAATGGAGTTAAGCTGGAAGTAAACTTAAATAGTTTATAATATCTGTACATCTTAAGTAAAGATGTTTTAGTCCTAAAAGTGGAAATCCCAATTTCCAGAATCTATAGACAATATACATATTGGTAGTTTTTTAAAATGCTGGTTTTATAATCACACCATCATTATAACGATTTGAGGTGAGAATTCATCAAAGTCTTAAAAATAGTGACTCACCTGTCAACCAGAAAGTTTATATGGCAGTTTTCTTGATACAACTGACTACAAAGTGACTTGTTTGAGTAGATACTTCAGAATATGTTTCTTAATTTCAACAATGGCATGCTCCAAATCTGGACAAGGTTCATTGCCCCAATGACAAAGAGTATAAGCTTTCCAAAGGTAGTCCAAAAGTACATCACTTCTATTTGATTAAATGGTGCAAAAACATCAAATTCCACCAGAAAACGTATTAAACTATAAACAAATTCTAACTTTTTAAGCATTGAACAGAATAAAATGGAGTTCTAGATAAGGGTTTCTGAATAAGCAAGCCATGGAAATCGAAAAGAAATAGTAGAAAATGTAAAAAAACACACAATACATTTAAAGTTTGAAGAAAAATGTACCAGAGGTTTTACTAGTTAGATGAAGGTGTGATGGTCCCTGATAGAGGTAAAAGTCTAGAGGGGGGGGGGGGGGGGGGGGTGAATAGACTTTTAAAGTCCTTTCCTATTTTTGAAGAGTTTCCCTCATAGGTATGATGATCTAGAATCTTTTGAGAGATTTAGGATCGCAGCGGAAGTTATGACCTCTTTTTGACTGTGAATGGTAACTTTCTTATGAGAGGATAAGAGGGAAGAGGTATTTGTATGTAGGATGACTTATCTTTAGTGACTGGAGTGTATAGTAGACTAGAGGCTCTGCTTTGAAGATCTTTCAGTGAGATCCTCTGATGACCTTGAATCAGAGACCCTTGAGTGAGGTCCTCTGATAACCTTGAATCAGAGACCTTTGAGTGAGGTTCTCTGATGATCTAGAGTCAGAGACCCTTGTACGAGGTACTCTGATGATCTTGAGTCAGAGACCCTTGTTGAGTTAGAGACCCTTGTGTGAGGTCCTCTGAAGATCTTGAATCAGAGACCCTTGAGTGAGGTCTTCTGATGATCTCGAGTCAGAAACTCTTGCGTGAGGTCCTCTGATGATCTTGGATCAGAGTAAATAAGATTGACACGAGATGTATCCTGGTTCAGAGGTGGTGTAATCCTCCTACATCCAGTCCCATCCTCTTTCAGATGGATTTCCACTAAAGTATTCAACCCAATACAATTAGTGACCGTCTGGCTGTTATCACCAACTTGCTCAGACTTCAAGGTGTTTCACTGAGAGTACACACCACTCCAAGTTACTCAATCCTTTAGGTTTTTCTCGATTGATCCAGTGGGGATCAAAAGGTACTCTATCCTATTCTACCACACTTAAGGACTTAGACGACGCTATCCTTAGAAGTGTTTACAACAGTTTTAATATGAAACAAACTTCTAGCCTCCAACTAAAAACTAAACTTTCTGAGTGTATCAATGAGGATTTCTTTTCTAGAAGGTTTAGTGAAGCATGAGTCTAAGCAGAGAGCAGAATGTAATGAGCCCTTTCTCTTTTTGCTAGATATCTTCTTTGTGTAGTATGATTTCTCTGCTTAGTGAACTCAGGAGCTTGTTTTTCTTCTCATGCTTATGCCCGAATTTATAGGCATCTCTGGTTGATTAATCTCCTCCGTTGGTTGAGAGGATTTAATCTATTTCGTTGAGGCTTCTTGTACTTTCGTCTTCTTGTGTTGGAGCAGCTTATCTTCAGACGCAATTGGAGCAACTTGCTTTGCAGGAAATGTAAACCCATTCCTTAGGCCTTTTGCGCACTATTCATAATCTAGTGGGATTTTGTCTTCATAGGCAACTCTGGAGTGTCTCGTGATTATACAGCTTTCCAAGTAAAATTTGTGACTCTGGTCCTTGTCTACAAAATTAATTTGTACTGGTAGGATTTTAAATATCCTTTTTAAGGTAAAGAAGGATTTACCTTATTGCATTTTATATTTCCAGTAAAATTAATTTTGTACATAAGATGTACATGTAAGATTAGTCACAATTTTACTAGTGACAAGAATAAATTTGTGTCACAAAAATATACTGATTGGATTTGAATATCCTTGAAAGGTAGGGATTTACCTTATTGCATTTTATATTTTCAGTATATTTATTTTGTGACATAATTTATACATTCCTAATTTTGTCACCTTCCTTTTTAGACCACACTTCAGTTCACACAATGATCATTTAATATTGAATAGAAAATCTAATCATCAAGGGAGGATTGCATCATCAAAACTATATTTCATCAAAGTCTGAGGGACCTAACAAGGTGACTACCAGACGAGTGACACAGAACTTCAATGGTGTAGGCGACAGAGATGTAGGTGCGGCCGTGCGGCGATAAAGGAAAGATTTCAACGATGAGATAATTGGAAGAGAGAAGATGAAAGTTGTATAGCTCATCAGGTCTCTAAGAAAGGAATGTCGTTAATGAAAGAGAGAAAAAAGGCGGAAACAAAGCCAGACAGGTATATTGCGATTAAATGAGCCGGACGTAATTAGTGACACAGAGTCAGTTTTTTGGGAAAATGAAAAGAGGCAATCTTTTTGGAATCAAAAAGTCAAATAGTAATATAGAGGCCATTATTTCTAAAATATAGTGATCAATATACTATAAGGAACTATACGTATATTCTCTTTATTAAAAAAATAGTCCCAAATTGATTTGCAAATTCTTCCTTTTCTTGATCAAACGGTTTCATTTGATTCGTTTAATTAGGATGTCAATTTTTTTATTATATTCTAATTTTGAGTTTACAACTTTGAAGAGATTTTAATATAATTTCTGAATATATAAATTTTAATTATTAAAAAAAGAACTCATTACCGATACGGAGCATTGACTATTATTATTCGTTGACAACAAATTGTTGACTTTGAAAAACAATTTGGGACGGAGAGAGTATAAAACCTCTATTTAAAATTTAAATCATAATAAGCACTTTTTAATATATCAAGTGTGAAGGCCCGATTAGACAGTTCATAGGCATATTTATTTTATTCAGCTCGCACGCCCAAAATAATTCAATTAGTCGAGAAAATAAAAAAAGAGTAAGCCTTTCTTCCCTCTTCCCACCTGACCCTGTACAGGTGTCGTCACCTAAACTGAGGTTTTTTTGTCCACCCGACCTCCTTGTCCGCCAATGTTACCTTCTCGTTGGAAAGTAGGTTTTATAATTAGGTAGATTCTATGGTACCCAAAAGGTACCGTACCTTTGTCCACATGGGCCAATCAGAATGTTGCAGTTGAATTATTTAAGTCTAAATTAAAATTGATATACCTATGTGGACCAATCAAGTGAATGGTAGGTACGGTACCCTATTTTTTAAATGGGTACCGGAGTTCTCACCTTATAATTAAGCCTTCAATTCTTTATTCTTGGCTGAAATATTATATTAATAAGATACTGATAGTTTGTTTTGCCACGTCATTTACTAATAACAGCTGGCAGTTAGTAGTTAGAGGGAATATAAAGTCAGTTGTAACGATTGTAATGGATATGGATAATAAACTTTCAGTTCTCTTCTTCTCCCCTTTTCACTCTACGAATTATTCTTACAGTTACTGTGAATGTTCCTTCTCCTTATTACATTCATAACAATTGGTATCAGCGATCAGAACAATAAACTTCTACTACCATGGCAAAGATGAGTAATACGGATCTTATCACTCAATTAGAGGCGGATTTCGCTATTATACAATAGGAAATGGAAAAATTCAATGAAGTTCAGAGGATAGATTTTGCCAAGCTCACGGAATTGAATGAAAAACGTTTTGAAGAATTTTTTGCAGCTGTCAAAGGAATCAACGGTCATTCTCATCAAGAACATACTCTTCACAGACCAGACTTCGGTCTAATTTCTACACTCGGGCATCACCGAGGTCTTAAAGTGGAATTTCCCCAATTCAATGGTGAAAATGCTAGAGGATGGATCAGAAAATGTGAGAGGTACATTCTAATCCATAGTATGTCTGATTATGAGAAGATTATATTGATTGGAATGTATGTTACTTGCAATATGGAGAATTGGTATATGGATAGAATTGTTGGTAAAGAATCTATGGGCTGGGATGCGTTTGTATTACTGTTCTTGGATAGGTTCTCAAAAGAAAATGATATTATTGGGGAATTCAACAAATTAAGACAAAAAGGTGCAGCTCATGAGTATGTGGACAAATTTTCTGAACTGAAATCTTTTATACTGCAACGAAATAAACATTTGGATGAATATTATTTTCTGAGAAGTTTTCTTAGTGGCTTAAAAAGTGAAATATGACATATGGTGGAGATTGTAGCTCCTGAAACATTGGAACAAGCTTTGATGATAGCTAAGAAGTAAGAAGCCGTAGGAAGGACACGGTAATCCTTACCAAAGAGTAATAATTGGTCCAGGATTAATGTTGAGAACAAGGGAGTTGCAACCGGGAAAAACCTCTACCAATCAAAAGATTGAGTAAAGAGGAGCTGGAAGCAAGAAGAAAGGATTTTGCTTTAATTGTGATGAAGCTTATACACTGGGACCCAAATGTAGGAAACTTTTTGTAATCCTACTGTCTAAAGATATTCAAGAAGATAATGAATCTTTATTGAATCAAGATGAGGAAAAAGAAGAGAGTTTTGGGGTATCACTCCATGCTTTGAAAGGGCATGTACCAACTGAAACCATTAAATTGGCTGGAAAGGTTAAGAACAACAACATAACCATATACTAGTAGATTCTGGGAGCACTCACAGTTTTATAGATCCAATGACAACTAATAAAATCAATTGTGAGCTTGAAATTACAAATCCTCTTCAAGTTATGGTTGCAGGAGGAGGAAGGATGTGTAATTCAAAATGCCCCAAACTGGAATGGGAAATGGCAGGGCATCATTTTGCAGCTAGTGCAAGGGTGTTACCATTGGGAGGGTATGATATGGTTATGGGAGTGGATTTGATGAAGAAGCTGGGGCCTATCATGTTTGATTATGATAATCACTCTGTCACATTTGATCATAAGGGACTTCAATTCTTTATTCTTGGCTGAAATATTAATAAGATACTGATAGTTTGTTTTGCCACGTCATTTACTAATAACAGCTGGTAGTTAGTGGTTAGAGGGAGTATAAAGTCAGCTGTAACGATTGTAATGGCTATCAGTTGGATAATAAACTTTCAGTTCTCTTCTTCTCCACTTTTCACCCTGCGAATTATTCTTAGAGTTGCTATAAATGTTTACTTCTCCTTATTACATTCATAACAGTAGGCCGGGCTACTCGGCCACTCAGGGGCCAATATGTGTGCCACCTCGTCGTAACGTAATGACACCCCCTTGATTGGTATAATGGTTTACTCAATCAAAATGGGGTAATGATTTTTTTTTACCTTGATCGTTATGATAGTACAACGAATTAATAAGTCTTATATGAACTCTTTAGATTTAGAAATATGAGTTGGAATTGAGCCTTTAATCAAATAATAGGCTAGTTTAACTATTCCTTGACTTTTTGACAACCAAATTAATGTTGCATTTTACATCACCTGTTTTTTTCATCATTATTTCACATATACGGCTCTATCTCTAATGTTTTTATGAGCAACACCCACTTGTCTTGATAGAAGAAACGTCATCATTTCCTCCAATGTTGATGGTTTGTCCTTTAGGCAAATTAGCAGGATTGTTGCTTCCATCCAAGGCCCTCCGGCTCGCCACACGGTATATCTGGGAAAGTACCTCTGTGAAGGCATTTTCTACATTAATCGACTCGAGAGCTGATGTTTCCATGAAAAATGTATTTTCTTTCTCAGCAAATACCTTTGAATCATCTGTGGTAACTGCTCGAAGGTGACGTAGATCTGCCTTGTTTCCTACTAACATGACGATGATGTTTTTATCAGTGTGATCTCGAAGCTCATTCAACCATCTTTCCATACTCTCAAACGTCACACGTCGTGTTATATCGTATACTAATAAAGCTCCCACCGCTCCCCGATAGTATGCACTTGTTATTGCACGGTACCTGTAAAGTGTGTTATTGCACGGAAAACTATAAAACAATACAAACACTATATAACAACTTAGCAGGTTGACCTTTTAAGGTGGAATATTGGGTCTTAGTTTGGTATCACATGCAGTCAAGTCCGGTTGTGGGTTGAATGTTTTTTTAAGCACTCTTTATAAATTGTTAAAGGTCTGTTTGGCTCATTTATACACATTGATATTAGTTAGCCCAATTCGGGTTGAAAGAGTTTAGCGTGTTAAAATATTTGTCTCACACTCAAAAACTACAAAACATAAACTACTACGGAGTATATAAGAGTATTGTAGTTGATTACTTCAAACATAAACAAATAATGAAATACTCCCTCCGTCCCTGAATGTTGTTCCAATTGCGGATTACGAAGGTTGACCGACGATAAAGTTAAATGATCTCTGTGAAAACTCGGATTATTTTTAGTAAATAAAATTTACATATTAAGAAATTACATTAAACCCGCTACAAAGCCTGCGAAAAAAAAAATCAATTTTCATAAAATTTTGATACAAAAAGTAAGAGTTTAAGAGTGATTTAAGTTGACTCTCGAAAAGCGGGATGGAACAACACTGAGGGACAGAGGGAGTAATAAATTTAGTGAAATTTATGTTGTAACGTGTTTTCTATCATGTCATTGAGAAGTAATAGGGTGACTCATATAATTTGATTTTCTCATGCATGCATCGATTATACGTATTCCATCACTTTTGTCACTAACACCCAATAACACGTACACTTATGGTACCAAAATCAATGCTTTTGAAAATAGTAACAGGTGGTGTACATGTATGATGCAGTGAGAAAACGTTCAATATAGTAGCTAGACTTGAGAAAAGTTGACCAACATAAAAGTTAAACTAGTATATGAGTGTAAAGGCATAAACCTAAACATTAAATAAAGAAATTTTATATCAGTTAGGTTACTCATAAGAAGTTACAAGGTCTATGTAGATACCTAGTTCAAGATGATGTTGATGACTATACATTATCTAAATAAGCATATGATTTGGTTGAAACAAGATTTTAAAAAACAGTATAATAGATACTCGTAACAAACTAAATTCGCTACTTTCATTGTGATCTAAACTAAAACATGATGAAGAGATACATACTTTTTTGTGAAATGAAAATAAGATTGACATTAAGATTAGTAACACCTCACATCTCATAATTGACTATCAACAATTCAAAGTTACGTTTCATTTAAATGAATAAGACCTAAATAAAATTCATAGAAAACTGCAATACGTAGAAACAATAGACCATGGTTTTAATTGTGATTGCGGTTGCAGTTGCGGTTTTGGCCGTGAATCAAGAAGTGTTCGAGAAAATTCTCCACAACATTCTAGAAAATTCTATACTTCTCTAGAAAGTTCTAGAATTTTCTAGAACCTCTCCAATTAAGGAGGGATCCCAACACAACTTTGTAAAAAGAGATGATTCAAAACATTGCACTTTCCTTTTAGAATATAAAGGAGAATATGGAGTGAACATAACTTGGTACATCAGCGCGAGGGCAAGCAATCATATTTGTGGAAAGAGAAGTATGTTTGTGCAGATTATTAATGAATCAATAAGTAACAACGTCTCTTCATGATAATTAAAAAGAATATAGCAACAAAAACTTGCCAAAATAGGAGTGAATATATGAGTCTCGCCAAAATATTGAGTATTATAATTTATATTGAAATAATTACATAAATATGACCAAAATAAAGATGGTTTACAAAAATATGATTCATTACTAGAGTAGTAATGAAATCATAGTAATTCATGTTCAAGTTTTGAACTTTAGTTACCACAGCACTACGTTGTAGTAATGAACAGTCATATTTATGTAAATAAGTTTTATTTTAGTAATATTCTCGTAAAAAAAACCATTTGTATTTGGTGTTTAAATTTGAAACATCCCACTACGAAAAGAACACGGGATTGACACAGAAATTTGGCACGCAGATAACCCATTTTGTAGTCATATCAATTAATCTAAAGCATGATAGGAAGAATCAAAAGAATACATTAAATTAATGATTAACAATTACGTAGTAATTTTCAATATAACGATCAATATAAAATGATATTTTGTAAATGAAAGCCGTTAAATAATTACCTTTCTTGACCGGCGGTGTCCCATATTTGAGCCTTGATGATCTTATCATCGACTTTAATCGTGCGGGTGGCGAATTCAACCCCAATGGTAGATTTAGAGTCTTGGCTGAATTCATTCCGGGTGAAACGTGAAAGCAAGTTCGATTTCCCAACGCCGGAGTCTCCTATCAACACAACCTTGAACAAATAATCATAATCCTCATCCATTCTATTATTATTATCCATCCTTTGTTTTATCCACTACTAAGAGAAAAATATTATTGGTTGATAAAAGGTGTTATTCTCCCTCCACAAGAGTTGGGAGGGAGATGGAAGAAAAAGAGAAATAAAATGGTGGGAAATGAAAAGTGCACTCATTAAATCCTTTTATATGATGCGAAAAAAAGGATGTGCACCACAAGTGAAAATTATTTGTTTATGATTTGTGTATTACAACAAACTAGTGGTGGCTGTGGACTGTGGTGCATCATTGAATTGACAGAAAACTTCCAACATAAAGATGTGTCGAAAATTATTTTTTCCACACCAATTAATTTAACGTATAGTAATAAGAAATAAACCAGTGTATATATGTTCTTGGTTACTAGTTCTATTCTATTAACATTTTCTCATAGTCTTGAATGTTAAGCCTAATTGATTATTTGAAAGAACATCAACGGATATGTTGAGATTATTAGACCGGTAAATTTGCTATATGATTCGGAGTAATATTACTGGGTGAATTTTGCCCCCCCCCCCATGGTGGGCCATGTTTCAGAGAACATGGTGAACTTATCAAAAGACGGCTCTACTAACCATCTGATCCGGTTCTAAGAATAGAACCATTCGATACCATGCCGTTTTGGAACGGTACAAAATGGTATAGTACAATACCAAACACATGCTAAAAGAATTGTACAAATTTTACAATTATTAGATATCATCACACCGACCAACTCACATGAAATGTTGATAAAAATACAAGAAAGTGCTTACTTAACATTAGGAAAGATTCAAGATGTTGACATTTTTGTATTTATATTCACAAATCCTCAAATAGTACAACCAAACTAACACCAGATAAATATCATATTTAATTTATTAAATTCATGCGAAAATATAAAAAACATGTCATCAAATTCATGTAATACTTAGTGCTGCTCATCCACGCTGCAGGTGAGAAGCCGCAGCCGGCCGTGTATGACGCCTGGAAGGTTCCGTCCGTCCACTCCAGGTCTCCGGCCTCATGAAGCAACCACTAACTTTACGAATTCATAGAACTATTACATTTTTCATAAAAAACGATACATAGTTAAAAAGAAAAAGTATTCAAATGATAAAAGATCGAGCAATATACCTCTAAAAAATGAGCGGCAGGAGGCGGATAAAGGTGTGAGGCGGAGGAGAGGGCGGTTGAAGGTGTAGCTATGACTTAATGTGGGGCGTCGGCAGTTTGATGCTGAGAGGGCGTCGGCTTTGCTTCTGGTAGAGCGGCGGCGATTTGGGTGGTATTGTGTTTAACGTTTAGGAGGGGTCGATTAGGTATCAGTGAAGGTTGTGAAGTTCGCTAGAAAAAATACCTAAGCAGCACCATAATTGTTGAGGTTTCTACAGACCCGCATCACATAGTCAATACATATTGACATATTGCTACGGTTTAAGCGTGACCGCATCAAAAAGATGAGAAAAACTAATATTTGCTGCGGGTCCTCTTGTGAGCGCAACAATAACTATCAAAATCGTATATAATTGCTGCGGTTACTTTATAACCACAGCAAATAAGGAGCAGCAAATGAAAGAAATTCTAGTAGTGTATATAAACAAATCAACTTATGTACAGGAGGTGGTGGTTACATTCCAAAGCCCCACTCGGCACTCATCATGCACCCACTACGCACATTTAATACATGCATGCGTAACTAATAACTTAATGCAACAGCTAACGTAAATAACTAGCTAATTGACCAATCCATACAAATTAGACTAACACTAATGCAACGGCACATACGCACTTCAGTACCGCTACAACACAAACACGGTGCCACGCGACGCACACAACTTGGCA